GTGACGCCCCTTCTGGAGACTTGACTTCTGGTGGAGGCTTTCCTTCTAGAAATATTTCTTGATCCGGAAAATTCAATACTCCTCTAGCGATATCCACCACACACTGCTGTGATCGTAAGAAGTCCAGTCCGAGTATACAGTCGTCCGTTATGTTAGCAACCAAGACGCTTTGTCTGTAGATCTAGTCTCCTAGTTTCAATTCGATGTCTGTCACTCCCAGGACTGTCACTTGCTGGCCTGTAGCTGTTTGCAATTGACACGCCGATTTTGTACCTTCCCACATAATTGTACGTTTGAGAAGTTTCGGCCGCACGATAGTTTTAGATGCCCCAGTGTCAATTGTAAGTTGTGCAGGCTTGCCGTTTATTTCTCCTGCGGTTACGAGACTATTTCCATCACATGCCTGTGATACTCGTACTGTGGGGGCTAAAAGACGTCCAGCTCGTGCCCGCTCTGCAACCGAGTCCACGCTACAATCAACCTGAGTAGCGATTGACATTGTCCGGTTTCTCCGCTGGACCAGGCAGTTAGTCCTGATGTGCCCTCGTTCTACACATCCATAGCATATTGGTCCACCTCGAAGCTTGACTGCTGCAACAACTTCTCGCACTCTGTGTGTCTTGTAGTCATTGCGTACTGCTTCTACCTCCAGGGCGTGCGCTAAAGCAGCTTCCAGGGTCGTGTGATGTCCCAATCGAACGGCCGCTCTTACTTCGTGTTCTCTTATGCCATCCACAAAAGCTTGAACTACAATGTCTTCTATGGATGTCTTACTGGACGCATAAGCGCGACGCACCAGTCGTTCACTCTCCGTGGCCCACTGCTGCAATCCTTCTCCTGGTTTCTGTGACCGTTCTTTTAGTTGCGCTCGATACACATATTCTAGGTGTTTATCCCCGTAACGAGCCTCCAGAGCTTTGAGGAGAGTTTCCAAACTTCGTTGATCGGCTGGTACATTTTCCAATATCAGAAGAGCATCCCCCCTGAGCGCAAGAGTTGAGTGCGGTCAGGGCATGTTCGTCCTTCCAGCCGTTCCCTTTGGCTACGACTTCAAATTGGTGTCTGAATGCCGTCCAAGAAGTTGTACCATCAAACGCGGGTACTTTAAATTTTGGTGCCGTGGTACCCGTGGTTTCCATAGCGATGCTGATAACCTTGGTTATTTGAAGGTCTCTTAACATTTTTTCATGAGCCATGAGAGTCTCCTGATGTTCGTCTAGGACCTCTTGGTGTTTGTTGGTACGACTTTTTACGCATTCCATTTCTTCCTGGATGTTACACAAACTAGCTTTAAATACATCAAGCTTCGAGTCAAGAGCTGCATTTATGTCCTCCTTGACATCCTTGACGTCTGCGCGAATAGACTGTATAGCCGCCATCAAGGTCGATAAGTCGATCGTAGGCGCTGTGGTAGTAGTGGTAGCACCACTGTGGTGAGCAACCTGTGGTGTGCTGTACTCTTCATCAGGCGCCGCTGCTCCCGACTCCCGCGAATGGTCCATTACGGCCTGCCTTCGAGTGTGTACGCCTTCGCTTCCGTCGCGAGGTGTGACTGGTATCCCACTTCTGACACCAGTTGTTACGTGTCGGGATGGGGTTCGAAATTATATGCCAGTTCACGCTTGACAGTTCCTTATTCACTGTATTTCACTATACAAGTCTAAACAATCTCACTTGAACACTTTTGTTGCACTTTGATCGCCTTTGGATTCGCTCCGAAATCGCTGTTGAAACTCAACTGTCTCTGCGCGGCGCCAATCGCGCTTATATACGCCGATCGACGCATTCTAGAAAGTACCTGTTAAATTGAGAATTACCTAGCACCCGCGAGTACGAAGTACCTACTTATACCTACGCAGGTAACACGCATAACTTGTAAACAAGTGCAGATGTCGTTGCACTTTCTCCCTTACGTCGCACTGCATAAGGCTCATTTTAGAATGAGCCGCATTACTCGACCTCTATCGCGACCCGCGGTGCTCTGGCAAATTCGATCTCTAGCACATTCGCGGTTCCGTTTCGAGAGCGTTTGTGACAATACGTTTTGGAAGAAAGCATTTTTTTATTGGTTTTAAATAGTCGGAGTAGTTTTTAGTTATATTTTCTTTAGATTTAAACATCAAGCAGTTACATGCTTTAAAAATAATAAAAATTATAGTTTTTAGTAGTTTGGTTAGTAAGTTGAATTATAATCAGACCCGTCTTTCCCAGTGGGCACTTTGGGCAAATGCCCAGGGCCCCGTGATCGATAGGTGGGCACCTCAGATTACAAATACAAAGTCCCTAGTTCTTGTTATATCACCAAACGAGGGTCATAGGGGCCCCATTATCCTAATATGCCCAGGGCCTCTAATATGCCACAGACGGCACTGATTATAATGCAATAACATTTTCTTTAGTTTAAAGAATTGGTTTTGCTAAAGTCCTAATTTGATGAAATTCTCATTTTTTGCAAAATATCTTTTGAGCGCCTTATTTACCCCCTTAGAAAAGGTTTTGACAATTTCCAATAGAAGTTAACAGTAGAATTATTCTTCCTGTAGAAAGTTAATGTAGAATATTTGCAAATACTGTTTTCCTTTTTTTGTACTGATCGTTCTACTGCAGCTAGTTAGTTTACAGAATAAACAATAATATGCACAACCTCAAACGCCTGAATCTCTCAATAATGTCCAATAAATTGGATCAAATTAATTACTACGACATCAGAAATATGTTTTTGTTGTAACATTATGTATTAAAATTATGATTTTCTATCTGATTAATTATCAAAAAAACATGTAACCTCCGTGAGTTTTCCCAAAAAATAATGCATGTTTACCTCGTATTTTGATATTGAATTAAATAGAATTACTATCAAAAATTTTCATAAAACTAATCTACCATCAGTGAACTACGGAAATATGTATATCATCATCATCATCATCATCATCAGCCTATTAATGTCACCACTGCTGGGGCACAGGTCTTCCCTATGGATGGAGTAGGGAGATTGGGCCATGACCCACCACGCGGGCCCAGTGCGCCCGCCAATATATATATATATATATATAACATCACCCGTAAAATGCAATATATTCTAGTGCAAATCTACCTACGCGCCGATTAGTACGGCAGCGGCTCAATTTTGTAAAAGGACTCCGTAATTCTTATAACGTAAGAAAGTACTGAATTTGTTCATCTACTGAATACCGTTCATTAACTGGGTTCACTACCTTTTTTTTATCTTTGGGAAAATGCGTGACGCATACCGGCATACCCCACCCCTGGGTGAGAGACGGGATTATGTGGGACTCCGCCTCCCCCAAATCCCGCCTACCCACTCAGCCAAACTGGCCCAGCGGCTGCTAGGGGGGCTCACTACCCTACGAACCAAGCAAATATATAAAAAGGGTCGCCAGGTAAATAAAATGAAAGTACCTATTGTAATCATTAAATATCTTCTTTACCAAGAGTTTCTTAAAAGTCACACACAAACTATTGTAGACATTATTAGGAAATTATCCAGTGTTGTGTTACATAAACATTGTTATTTTCTCAGAAAACCGATACTACTTAGTTATCTGATAAGTTAAATATGACAATCATTATTATAAAGAAAAAATATTGTTTAGATGTGAGAGTAGGTAATATGCAATTAAGTCATTTCCTTTTATTACTTGAGATAAACTGTACCCTTAGTAAGAGTTTGAGCTCACGAAAACTATCATAGTTTTCGTAATTGTAAATTATGTTTCTATTTCCATTTTGGTGAAAAGTAACCAAATATACTTAAAATTTAATAAGAAACAAATGATTTAATGATAGAATTTAAACACTGTTTATTTGTATTGAAACAAAAACAATAAAATCAGCACTCTTAATACGGTGCGAGCTCACGAAAACTATCATAGTTTTCGTAATTGTAAAACCCGTACTAAGGGTACTGAAATGTCTGTTACTAAAAAGAGGTACGTGTAAGGCTTTAGGGAATAGCGTGGCCTTTCCGCTAGAATCAGAGCGCCCGTCTGGGGATTTAACCTCCACCTTACAAGAAGATTATAGAGAAAAAAAAAATGGGTGCGTGTACTTATGTAGGCGCGTGAGAAGTTATCCGTCTTTGGCATCGTTTAAAATTAGTTTTTAATTGCATGCAAATAATTAATTACAATAAATTAATAAAAAGTCTGGAAAAGGAAACAGTCAATAAAGTTCAGTTTTAATTTGAAAAAATAAATAAATAATCAAAATATTCAATTAAAATCGCTACTGAATATAATTTATTAGAACATATGTGATTTGCACTTGTATGAAACTCAAACACGTATTCCGAATATACAAACTAGAAACATGTGGATAAATATTATAAAAATGAATACCTATAACTGTTACTTTATTACAAAAAATAAAGATGTGGTTTTTGGTTCTACTACACCAATGGTCAAGAGATGGCGTTGTAGTCACCTGAATCGCGCTTTGGTTCCGTTGTTCCAGATTAATAAATACTTTTGATAGGCCTTCACAATGCAGTCGTTAGCACCCACTAAATAGAGATTCTATTTCTATTTAGTTGGTAGATTTTCTTAATGTGCGGTAAACACAAAAGTAACAGCATGCTGTTAATATTTTGTGTTACAGTGATGCGCGCGCATCTTAAAATTTCACTCTCATCATTTTTTCATAACGCGCCTTAAGAAGTATAACTTCAAAAACACGAACGTTTGATGGTGTTGTTTCTGTAGTTTAGGGCACTTCATCATCATCATCATCATCAACCCATGTTCGTCCACTGCTGGACATAGGTCTCCCCTAATGCACGCCACTGCTTCCGATTTTGTGCTACTCTCATCCAGCCCACTCCAGCCAGCCTACGAATATCATCATCCCATCTTGTCTCAGGGCGTCCTTAGGGCACTTGTTAATGACATATTTTCCACCGGCTAGGCATGATTTATACCGGGGCCGGTACTGGCTAGGTTTGTACAAGAACACGGTTTGTACGTTTGTTTGCAAGTACCAACCTCAAACGTCGCCCAAACTCCAAATCATACCTGACTGGCGACCGGACGTAGACACGGTTTAAAACCGTGTAGAAATCGTCTCGTTTACAAGCGCTCAGCTTCCATCGGGTGAGGGGTGACGTCAGAGTAATCCACGTGTGACTTATACTTTTGTACCACCATATTTAAAGGAAGTCTGTTTGTATTTGAGCGAAAAATTTCGCTGTGCCTTGTTACATCTGTCCTCCTCCTATCCTCCTTCTTGTCATAAGCTATGCCTTCACGTGACGTAGTAATCAAAATTAAGTTGGCCCGAATATAATGATACTGTGACGTACAATTATGATTAGATAGTTCAATAATCGGACAGTTCATTGCCTTATCCAATATCTACAGTGATAAAATGTAAATTCGGAAATATAAAACCAAACGAAATCAAAAATGAAGCTAAAAAATTGAGCGCTTAGGACTGTTCTATATTGGTTTAGTGTTCAGTCATGTTACTGTAAAAATTATATAACAGAAACGTTTTACAATGTGAGTTAAAAACAATGTATCCACTACATTACTCGCTGCTTGCCTAATATTTATTTAATTAGATAATCAGAGTTAGCCAGCATTGCCAATGAAACAAAATTAGGCTTTGCGAGTTTTTAATGCAATGTTCTTCGTATGTAGAGCATTTATAACAATCGCCGATATAATAATATAGTAACTATTCAAAATTTTAACAGGTTCTGTTTTTTATTTCCAGGTACGTCAACAATGTGGCAGGACAGTTATGCTGATCAAAGTTCCTCGGAAAGGTCGAATCGCTCACTGCAACATCAGAAAAATTTCAACCCATACGAAATACTAACACCACAAAGATCAACAATAAATGAACCTCTCATAGACTTGGGCACTTTAGACGAAGCAACTTGTGTTGCTGCGAATAAGTTAACCGAAAATGTCTGGAATTCGACATCAGCTAACAAATCTAAAGGTTTCGATGCTATAGATCTTTATGAGAATATATTGGTTACACCACAGTTAGTGAATAATCAAAATCATATGACAATTGAAAACCACATTGATTTTAAAGAGTTCTTTAACAAACTGGAATCTGGCAAAAAACACGATTGGCTGAATATAAACAGTGAACCATCACAACAAAAAGGTGCTGGCGAATCAAGCCCAACCACCATAGATAAGTCACATAACTGTGGTAATTCTAGAGACATCAATGTGCTTAAGACAGAGATTTTGTTTGACAAAACAGAGTACAGTGCCAAACACGACTACTTTTTTGTAGAAAGAACATGTGAATACAAGACTACTGAAGAGGATATCATTGAAGAAGTATTATTAGATAAAACATTGGAAAAAATTAAGTTTGCCGAACTTAATAAGCCCACAGAAGTTTTAAAAGTGTTACCAACACCTACGATTTACCTATCGAAACGAAGTGAAAATATTAACAAATCAAGTAACTATACTATTGAAACACCAAAAAATATTGTAAATGACAATCTTAATGATAAAACCATAAATCAAGAATTAGTAACGAAAAAAATACAAAAGTGTTCATCATTTAATGATAATTTTCCAATACGTGATAGCTCTAGTAGCAAAGATATTTCTGGTACCAAGACTCATAAGCATGTTAAAAAAGATTTGAAAAAAGGATTATTTCCTGATTTTACGGTTACATTATCGCAACTAAAAAGTGATACGAATTCAAATATTTTAACGAAGTTTGATTTGTCAGCGCTACATATATTGTTGGACGAAGATAAGATCGAAAGTAGTGAAAAAACACTTGAACCAATAAACAGGAAATTTGCTGTAAGAGAAACGCCTATCAGTCCTGGTCGGCTTTTGGAGAATCAACAAAAAACTATGCCCAAAGACGCAAAACATTTTGCTAAATATAGTATAGATATAGATTTCAATAAGCAAATCAATCCTTTGACACCAGGTCCAACATTTGATGAAAAAATGTTGGTTCTCCCGAGTATACTAGAAAGGTTGAAAGAACAGAAAAGAGCATTCGAGTATACGAATAATTTGCAACGGCGACTCATTCTGGATGAGGGAGCAAAAAGAAGGGCTAATATGGATTCAACCACACTTAAACCTGTTGTTTTAAAGGAAGATTGTAATAAAGACAGACTGCAATCTTTTAAAGTAGGTCAGATGTTTGAGAAATTTGTAAAACCTGATTATGACTCGTAATAAATGTTTACCAAAAACGCTAGACTTCAACAATTTGCATATTTATATTCTGGCTGTTGATTTTCTTTCAGCTGTCGCATCTTTTATTTTACTTCCAGGGCAGCATTGAAAATTTGGATGTTGTAGAATAAATATTACAACAAAATGACTGGGCATCTCGGTGTTCTTGTGCCGCTTACTCTTAAAATAATACCTACTTAATATTTTAAACGCGAAAAGTTTGTATGAATGTTTTTACTCTTTCACAACGCAATGAACGGATTTTTTTTGCCAACAACACCATCTTAGAGTCTTCCCGCAGAGTAGTTTTTCTTGGTCTCGGTTTTCTTGGTACGTTTTCGGTCGAGTTGAACTTCTTGAAATGTTTTATATTTATAGCATTCTTATCCATGTCCTTAGAACAGTTCAAGTGGTTTGCTATTTTTCTGTATGACCAATCTTTATTAGTTTGGAAATAATCTTCCTAGTGGACGAATCGGAACTCTTGCTTTTTCCCAAATTGCTAGGTTTAAAACGTATTAATTTTAATTAAAAAATAAGTTTTATATGTAATATTGACGTTTCATGAAAACACGCGGCAAAACAAAGAAAAACAGAATGCAGTTTTTTCTTTATTTTTTTAAATTCAGAAATCAGCTTTTACTGTCTTTAATAAACTGGCCAGCTACAAGTTCGTTAAAAAAGTTCGTGTTACGTTCCCTTATTCAGCAGAGTGTAAAGTACTAATGAACACAACTATTTTTTGTCCCACATTGTAAGAATACAACGTCGTGTATAGTTTAATAACAATTACACTTTTGATTTAATACCAATTTTAGTTCCACAAATAAGTTTTTTTGTGGTCAAGGGAGTATCTTTAATTAAGTGACCACCAGTCTAAGTTTATTTATATAGAAATACACATTAAACATCCATGGCTGGAGTACAAATGCTCGTATTCATCACACAAACATCTGCCCCCGTCGGGATTCGAACCCGGGACCTCTCGAGTCGGCGACACCATGAAACCCGGCGTACAAAACACTCGGCCACGGAGGTCGTTAAATATAAATATAATAAAAATAACTTACTACTAGACAGTTTGTAAACGTAAAAAAGAAAGAAACTCAGGGTCGAAATAGGGTTCTTTATCCTACGTCGTCATCTATAGTAGAACAGGGAGTTGTTTAGCAGTGATACCGTCCTTGGAAGTGCCGGTGGTAAAGATAGTTTTTATATATGGCTAATAAAATGTTACTCTCCCAAATTCACTCATCGAATTACACATATACCATTATTCATTTGATATAATTGTTTTTAAAATAGTAAACAATTTAATTTGTAACTTTCAATTGAATAAATCGTTTAGCATTCGTAAATAACCACACTACTTATTTATTGTTTTTCGGGCTGTTAAACTAGAAAACCAAAATGATTGTCGGTATTGTAAATCCAAGAGAGTGGAAACTTTACAGCATCTTATTTTAGAATGTCCTGCCTTCTTTATACAGAGAATCTTATTGATAGATGGCTTATTAGAGATATATAATAACTGCAGAATACCCAGCCAATTGCCATCTATCATACAAAACACTAATACATATCCTTTATTATTTGAATATGTAATGAATACTTTCGAAGACATTTATAATGATGCAATTAACTAATGAATGGCCAAAATGAAGTAATTCACGGCCGTAAAACTTAAAAAAAAAATTGGGCTCGCTAATTACACAAGCAAATGTCAGAAAAACGATTTTTATTGGTTTTTCGCTCATAAACTAAATATTTCTGGGCAGCTTGTTGGATCGAATGAATTTTAATCAATTGATAATTCAGTTGCGCTAACAGCTTTGGCTGTTTCCATTGTACATCTGTTTCTTACTGTGTTTTTGTTACTGACGAACGATATCGTCCTTGGAGGTGCCGGTGGCAGGTGCAGGAGCAGCAGGGCAAGATAGTAGTATAGGGTCAGATAGTGGTAGGAAGCACGGTGGTAAATAAATGTACGGAAGGATAGGCCGTAGGTAGGTAGGTAGATCTGATGGTGATGATTTTCCAGCTGGTAGGTAGTCCCCGATTACGAGGATACGAGCGTAGAGTATTACTAATTAATACAATTAAGTTAAAAAGATAATTTAGAACATAATAAATATCCAAGATAAGCAGTAGTGCAGCCTCCACAATTCCAATGCAAAAGACCGAGTCTCCGTCTGTCCCCGTTCTCCATTTGAATTTAGCGCGTTTTGACGCGGGGAGGAGAAGCACTCAATTGACTCAATTCTTTGTGCGTTTAGTTTACATCTTACATCGTAATGTTAGTTTTCTAAATCAATTAAATTCACGCAGTTATGTGACAACAGTCACTATAAATTTTACAACATAAAATGAGTTATCATGAACAAATATATTTTTGACTTCTCTTAGCAAGAGACGAACTTCTTAGAAATCCATGCGTGCGGGTGCCGAGTTTATCGTGTGGGAGAGAGATAAATTCTGAGTTTGCTTAGCTACCTATACCCGGGAACTGGTATAGGTAGCTAAGCAAATAGACATAATTGGTACTTAATTAAGAATATTTTTTGAAGTGAAACTTCTTTAGGCACGCTTGACTTGGGGGCCAAACTGACGAATGTGTTACGATTTCGCTTTACGATTAGTGTCATCGGTGACTCATCGGTAAACAATGAATAATACCCGTCACAAAATACATGAATCTAGTGATTGGTGGGTGATAACGGACCCAGTGCGGATTGGTAGATGATAACGGACCTAGCCCAGATTGGTGGACGATAACGGACCCAATGCGGATTGGTGGGTGATAACGGACCCAGCGCGGATTGGTGGTTGACAATGGACCCCGTGCGGATTGGTGGGTGATAACGGACCCAGCGCGGATTGGTGGATGATAACGGACCTAGCCCAGATTGGTGGACGATAACGGACCCAATGCGGATTGGTGGGTGATAACGGACCCAGCGCGGATTGTTGGGTGACAATGGATCTAGCGCGGATTGGTGGGTGATAACGGACCCAGCGCGGATTGGTGGTTGACAATGGACCCCGTGGGGATTGGTGGGTGATAACGGACCCAGCGCGGATTGTTGGGTGACAATGGACCCAGCGCGGATTGGTGGGTGATAACGGACCCAGCGCGGATTATGGTTTTCTTTCTATCAACAAGTCTTCAGGTTAAGTTTATGATTTTCAGATCATTGGAGCTAAGAGTAGTAGTACAGAAGTTTTACTTCAGTCGTGGGGTCATAACCACACTCGCTTTTTTTATGTGTACATTAGTTGGTAATAAATCTAATATGGTGTGATTACCACAGTCTAGCTTCAATAGTATAAAATTATAATTAATTATTAAATGAATTTGAGGTTTCTGATTGAATAAATCATTGCGCACCTCATACCAGCACCTCACATGGTTATTTTGAGTGTATTCTTGTGTGTAGTTTTATCACGCTCTATGGGGTGTGAAAGGGTGGGACTGCTGTCGGGTTTGTGGGTGGTGGATACGGGTGAAGATTACAGGTCCTGCCAGTATACCAGCGTTGTTGTGACACGTTTGGTATGGGTAGGTACCACAGATTAATAAAATTATGTCTTAGTAGGTACGTCTGCTCACCTCTTGATGTTATTCTCTGTTTTTGTTATTTTAATATTTATTTATACTTTTCGAAATATTTTGAAGTGAAAACTTCTTTAGCGGCGTTGTACACTTTTTTGTATGGGTAAAAAATGTTAAACTCACGTCCTACCACATGTGTTAACACATGTCCTATGTGGCCTGATCGGGGATCTGACGAAAACAATACATTTAGAAAGGTTGTTGAATTCCAATATATTGGACGAAACATAGTAATATTTTATTTTATCGTATTATAATAATAAGTCTCTATCTAGGACATTTTTATTCGTAATACAATTAAAACATGTACAAAACAAAGCATTGTCCCACACACAGGACGCTATTTTACTCGTATTACTTTTGTATAAACAAGCTGAGCAACATGAGCTCTGAGAAACGATACACAACATTAATGGTGATCTAAATCTAACACGATGCTGAGGCATTACATTACAACAAGACTCGTTTATTAATGAACCTTACATTCACATCGCAACATAATTAAATAAGTTTCCGATTCGCGGGCTCTTCTTGACTAACTGGCAGCAGAAATATTCGATACCAAAGACAATTTTCGTTTTCTTAGCGAAAAAACAATTCGCTACGACGATAACGACAAGAGTTACCTTGGCTAGGAAATTGTTTTCGTTATCTCAGAAACGATGACGAATTTCGATATCGTTTCGTTACGAAACGATGTAACTTTGTCTAAGCCCCCAGGTGGCAGCTTTATTGCGAAGAAAATGCATTTTTTACAATAGATGTCGCTAGGTGCGCTTTAATGTGATTCATGTAAGTTGATTTTTTTACAATAGATGTCGCTAAGTGCGCTTAAACCTGATTCATGTAAGTTGATTTTTCAGAGAAACTTTTTTAATGTAATATAAATTGTCATGTTTGTGTACGATAGCGTAATAAAAAATATTGTATTCTATCACTTATAATTACTAACATAATAACTAATATATAGTTATGCTTTTATTTATTTTTTAAACATTTAACTGCTAGATGTTTAAATCTAAAGAAAAGTTTACTAGAAAAAAATCCACGCGGACCAGGCAGCGGACGGGACTCGAACCCGCATCCTTCGCTATCCGGGCGAATGCACTGACCATTATGCTACCACGGCCCTATTAGCCGCGTCGAAATTTTCCTAGCCTTAAGCTGCAAGGCAGCGCCATCTCTTCGCATTGTAGGTAACCCACAATGTCAATAAGTGCTTCCTAAGCAATTAAAGCAATTAGTGCAAAATTAGTGTTGGGTAGGACACGACTTGAAAAAGAGTTTGTAAGAGTAGCCTCTTTTTTGTACTGAGCCAGTACAATGTCCCACTTCAAATGAGGCGAGGCGTAATGAAGCTCGGCAATACATTTGAAGTGACGAGTACAAATATGACATTGAGGCGTACAGAAGCTCGACATTACGTTTGTGTGCACGAGTAGCATCTGGAGCGTAAGTTCTGAACGCAACCCGTTCGTGCGTTCAATCCCTACGCTCTGAGTGCAACTTTTACCCTGACGTTTAAATTTTGACATAGAATGTACGAAGCTAATGTCAACTAAGATATCTGTTGCACCTAGAACGTAGGTTTTGAACGCAACCCAGTGCCAGTGACAAGGATTATTTGCCGTGTGGATGACTTTGACAAGAGGGCGTTGTACTGCAAATTAATTATAGAAAACACAGTGAGACAGCATTATTTCCAGTTTGTGTCATGCGATGCGCCACAAGATCCTTGTCGCACTGTAACACAGACTACTAAGATAAGAGAGAGATAGGTACTACTACACTGTACCGTAGAGGACTTAAATGAAATGTCATGCCTCGCTCTCTCTCAGACTTAGGAAGAGTGAGTGAGTAACGAGACGCGACTATCGCGACATTTAATGTGAAGTAGTACATTTTAAAATTTTGAGCCGCTCTTACATTTTGACGTCATGTCCGGGACAAATGTACCGCCTCTTGTAAGTCCTACTCAACACTATGCAAAATTATTCCCTAACCATTCCAAAATATCAAAAATGCACAATACGTTAATATTCAAGTTTTCACTTCTGCCGACACTCCCGGATTGCAACCCGGCGTTTTTTTTGTATGGTTGTAGTTGTAATTGTAATTTTTATATGGCCAAGAAAATGTTACTCTCCCAAATTGAATAATCAAATTACACAAATCCCATTATCTATATGTTATAATGATTTTATAAATAGTAACCCACGGACCTACGAGATAGTAACCTATTTAATTTATAACTTTCAATTGAATAAATTGTTTTCGCATTCGCACAAATAGCAGCACTATTTATTGTTTTTCGGGCTGTCAAATTACACAAACAAATGTCACAAAAAGGATTTTTAATGGTTTTTCAGGGGTTTTCGCTCTAACTAAATATATTTGGGCAGCTTGTCGAGTCAAAGGAATTTATAATAAATTCATTATTCAGCTGCGTTAACAGCTTTGGCGGTTTCCATTGTACATCTGTTTCTTACTGTGTTTTTATAACTGACGAGGTTGGAACCACACGTTATGAATAAATAAACATGGATCGAGTTACGGTTTTAGAAGAGGAAATCGCTAATCTCCGTATGATTTTGCAACAAAAAGAAGCGGAGTTGTACGAGTTGAAGAAAGAATGTATTCGGGTATGTAACATTGTAGTTTCTTCAGTCGTATACTGAAAATTACATTTTTTTCTTGTTTCCCCACTTAGATACCAACTTAATAATCTGTTTAACATTTACAACCTGATCTCTTGCTTTTCCTTAAATTAGGAATTGCTTATAAATAGTTTACAAAGATAGAGTGTTTAACATAGTGATTTCAATTCCGCCCCATTCTTATGATACCAATATAATAAGATAAGTAGTTTGTCAGTTTAAGAATCATTAAAGAGGATGGTTCAAAAGTGGTACTTAGTCGTTTTTTGGCAGCTAAGAAACATATTTTTAAATACTTATGTTTGAAAATTGAACAATTTTGTAAGGATGCAGGCCACCCTGTCTTAAGTAACGTAATTTTCTTAGTTGGGAACAGTTTATTAATAACATCATCTCAATTGCTGTAAAATGTCAATCAGTCCAGCCATGCCCGATATTCATGAAATCTTAGTGGAATTTATTATAAGTACCAATTTTTGATTGATTTTTCTTAAAATTCAATACCCACGAAATACCTAATAACATAATGAGAGATGAATGGAATCATTATCACTGCTTTAATTACTATTAGTTAATGGAATATTTTCATGCATTGAATCAAACTTTGATTCAGTAATCCAGTTTGTGCGCATTGCATGATTCAGCATCAGTCAGATGCACGGGAAAAGGGTAGGTCAGTGACCTACCTCAATTGGCAACAAAAAATAGATGACAAATTGCCATTTGCCAATCAATAATTATATAAAGTTATATTATAATCATTATTTAAAAAAACAGGGATAAAATAAATTTTAGTTTTTTGTTAAACAATTCAGAATTGAGTCCACTAAATCCCATAAAAATGGATGGTGGTAGTCCGTCTCCGGCAGACTTCAAGTGCCGGAGATGGACTACCACCATCCATACAAATTTTGCTTTTCAGTATTTCACAACTGATAATTTGAATAAGTTAAAACCTAAAAGCGTTCTAAAATATAATAAATTGTTTTTTCAGGAATCACATGCTCAGTTGGGTTCAACAAATCATACAACTCCAGAATTGAATAACTTGCTAAAAACACATTGTAGTGCTCGGCTACCAAAATGGGCAATAGTAAGGTAAGAAGATCCGAATTAAACATGCTAAATAAATTTAATGGCATTATTATGGTCATTGTCAAATCAACATGTGCTATTTGTTAAAAATGTAACTTTAGAATATAGCAGTTAATATTTTGGCTGATGCACATAAAAATTAATATTTTTTAAATAGCTTCTGTTCATTGTTATAATGCTAATATTCACATAGCAGGCTTTGTATTTGAAAATTCAATTAGTTAGTACTAGACATAATAATAAAACTGATAAAAATGTCGAAATCCAAATGTGCACATAGCAGATAATGGTTTGACAATGACAATATCCTTATTGTGTTTTTTAAGTAACAATGAAAAGAGAATGCTGTCAAATTTACAAATAGCAAGTAGGAAAGTGCATGCATGAGGTTACTGCTGCTTTTAAACTATTATTAGGCAGCTTTAGGTCTAAATTTTTTAATTTGGTTTGTTTTTTTTCAGTTAGGCTAGCACAATGACGACACTTAAAAGACGCTAGTGTGGGAGTCTTTTATAATATAATAAATTAACATAGAGAATAGCATATATATATTTTTAATATATGCAATCAGAATAGTTTTTTAAGCAGTTTTTTTTAATATAATTGTAACACTCTCACCAATTGGCTTAGCCCTGAAGTGAGCATTGTAAGACTTGTGTTATGGTTGATAAGTAAATCGAAATATTTACCCCATTTTTTAATTCAAGGTCTTATACAAATGAATATAAGAAAGTTTATAAATTATCTATACTTCCAGACACATCTATCAGCCCACCTAGCATTTTAAGTTATGACAGTCCTGTGATCATAGTGACTAGCTAAAAATTAATTGTTACATTGAACAAAAAGTTTTAAAGCTGAATTATTAACCAACCTTGTGTTTATAAAATTATTGCTATACCATGAACATATATATTTGTTACAGACCGTTGAAACTTATAACACCTAAGTGAACCAATAGGTGTGTCTAGAAGTATATGAGCATGTGATACTATCCACATCAAACCTGTTACGCATTTGAATCAATAGTTTTTTATTACCATTATAGGTACAGTCGTCAAATCCTTCTCCCAGACATTGGTGTCAAGGGGCAAGAAAAGCTGTGTTCAGCTCGGGTTTTAGTAGTGGGAGCAGGGGGTTTGGGCTGTCCGGCAGCAGTTTACCTCGCTGGGGCGGGGGTAGGTATGTACCCTTATGATACTGTTTTTTTAAAAAAACCCGACTTCAAAAAGGAGAAGGTTCTCTATTTGGTTGATATTTTTTCTCAAAGGTCCAAATCTAGGAAGGAAGGAAGGTTATTTAAGTAGTTGTCACAAGTGATATTTCAGCTTGAAGGACGAAAAAATTAAGAGTCCTGAGTTATCAACAGCCTATTAATGTCCCCACTGCTGGGGCACAGGCCTTCCCTGTGGATTCCCGACTGATGGATGATGATAGGGAGATTGTACCATGACTCATCACGCGGGCCCATTGCGTATTGGTATGTAATGACTGCAGATGCAGCCGGGACCAACAGCTTAACGTGCCTTCCGAAGCATGTAGGAGTAAATTTTTGGTCACCCATCCAGTGACAGACCACTGCGAAAGTTGCTTAGCTTCAACGATCGCAGCCGAACACGCTAACCACTTGCAGAGTCCTGATTAAGGACATGTAAATAATGCGAGGGGTCTGTTTAATTTTGTTATTTAAATTATAATAACCATTATTATTATTATTTGAACCATTATGATATCCTCTCATTCTTATTCAAATTTTCCGCTCGAATTGGAGCGCTTGTCTGCAGAGGTATTAACAACCTTACAGGTGTTGTGTTTCTTCAGTGAGTATGGTTTCAAGGTTCCACGGGGTAGGGGATTGGGTCAGGGTATGCAACGAAGCGAGTGATATTTTTGGTATCCCAAGCTTCTGTAGGCTTACCATCAGGCGAGCCAAAAGCTTGTTTGCCACCGTTATAAGAAAACAAAAATTGCTAATAAGGGAACCGGATAATCTTTACCTTTGACCTGTGTTGGAGGTTGATTATTGAAACTTTATTGTTAGTTAGTAAGTCCTGCTCGAAGGACCAAAACGTTTTTTTTTATCTAAGGCCATTAAAATTAATGCGAATGGTTATTATTGTATTTGAAATTTAAATAACAATGATCAATAACAGTACTTATAATAAACTATAATGTGTACTATATTTCATCGAAATCCGTTCAGCCATTTTTGCGTTGTTGTGTAACAAACATTTTACTCTTTTGAGACTCTTCTTTTATCTTCTTTGTAGGTGACATTGGAATAGTAGATTATGATGATGTGGAAATAACCAATATTCATAGGCAAATACTGCACAGCGAGAGAGATGAGTGTATGAGTAAGGCTGAATCTGCTGCACATAAACTCAGAAGGTATCATTTTTTCATAACTATAAACATCAACCCCGATATTAATGCTTGAATTATATTTGTTTCTTAGGTTTTCACTTGACTTGTTTTTATTTGACCCTAACTACTGTAAACTACCACCGGTTCCAAAATTGGCAGACCTTTCTGAGAAGAACCTTGAAGAATTTGTTACGCCGCTTCTTTACGGTACCGCTTTACGGTAGTTAGAGTCAAATAAATAAACTAGTTAGAGTCAAAATTACAAAAAAGAATTTTAAATAAAGACCGATTTTCGTGACATTTTTCTATGCATATTCAGTAGGTCTTGAGAATCGGACAACATCTATTTTTCGTCCCTTTTCAATTTTTTTGTGGACAATTTTTTTTTTATTTTTTTATGATAATCATACAAAAATGTACACCCTAAATACAACCCTAAATTTTCACCCCTCTACCACCCATATTTTTATGGCGACACGAAGTTCGCTGTGGCCAACTAGTTCAAATGCAAGCTCATATAATTTTATGACTTTATGCTATATGCGGAAAAATATAGGCCTTATTTCTTTGACTCTACGCGCAAATCTGAATGCGCTGTTAGCAATATAGCAGGTACGGACCGCGAGGAAAAGAGACGGCTATATAACCGACCATGCATTTGAATATAACAATTATTTTCTATTAAATCAGTTTATAGTAAGTATTAGAACCAATCAGTCTATTCCCGAGTAAGCACTGTAAGACTTGTGTTTTTTGAAAATCGAAAAAAAACCGGCCAAGTGCGATTTGGTTTCGCGCACCGAGGGCTCCGTGCGAACCTGAATATTCAAAAATATTTTTCATTATATGATGTAACTAAAATTTACGGATTTCGCAAAATTCCTTTATCTGTGCTATAAGACGTTACTTCGTACCAAATGTACCCTGTAGGTTTTGGTTCCCATGCGATTTTCTAAAATTTGCGGCATAAACGGCTGTATCTTTTGATTGCTTTGGCTTTGAGAAGTTTGATTTTTTCACAGCTCCAAGGGACAGTAGACCTGAGTATTAGATATGAATTTCAGTTTGATACTTCCACTCGTTCGTTGAGAAAAACGGTCTTGACAGACGGACGGACAGCAAAGTTATCCTATAAGGGTTCCGCTTTTTCCTTTTGAGGTACGGCTCCCTAAAAATGACACTTTACGTATTATAAGTATAATTTTCGCATTTTTTCACGGAGCTCTGCGGCATTTTGACTTTTCAACGGTCCGCGCGTGACTGTGAACTAAGAAGTGCTTGAGTGTTCAAGCACTTCTTGATTGGGATACATTTTTAGCGCACGTGATGTAACTAGGGTATTTAATATAGTTGATTTAACTGCTAGATGTTTAAATCTGTATAAAAATGTTATCATATTTTTTTTAAATTTCGTTTGCAGTATTAACTCTCACATTAAAGTGACTCCATATAACGTTCAGTTGGACTCTTCAAACGCTGTGGATATTGCTTCCGGTTACGATGTAGTTCTAGATTGTACGGATAATGTACCTACTAGATACTTGCTCAACGACTTATGTGTCATGACTGGGGTAAGTAGACTAATTAAATCTATTATTTAGCTATCTACACATCCATTCATTCCTTAGTTTACTCGCTTTTTCGTTTAATTATTCACTCATTCATTCAATATTTCATTCATTCATTCATCATACCATTCATTCATACCTCTGAGCAGAATATTTAAATCTTGAAATTAGTTTTTCACACATACATTTATTCCTTAATTCGCTCGTTTTTGCTTTCATTCACTCACTCATTCATTCAATCTTACGAAAATTCATTCATTCATTTTGGAATAGTTTTTGAATAAGGAGTAGTTCTGAACTGTCACTGTACTTACAATATATATCTACATACTTGCTCAACAACTTTTGTATCACAAGTTCAGTAATTTTAGGCATCATTAGTAGTGGACATTGTTATGTCGTAATTCTAGACTGTACGGATAATTTACCAACTAGGTACTTGTTACTGTTTAACGACATGAGTGATTCATTCGCTCAATCGTTCACCCATTCATTCGTACATCCGTCCTGGAACAAGTTTTGGATAAAATTTGTTTTGCTGGAAAGTCACTATACTGTAGCTGCAGAAAAAAACCTCCAAATCGTATTTACATGTAATAAACAGCAAAATTATATTAATTAAGAAATTTTAGTGAGTCTTACTTTAATAACACATATTTTATATCACCACCTAATGGTAATTATGTTTGTTTGTGTTCCAGTTACCATTAATATCCGGAAGTGCTTTGAAAATGGAGGGGCAGCTCACTATCTATGGATACCGAGCAGACAGAAATTGCAATGAGAAGGTAACATAACTGTAACTTAGAATATATTAAGTTTTCATTTTTTTATATAGCCAGGCATTTGTCATTGTAGGCAAATGACTACCCTACCTGATGTTAAGTGATGATAAAGTCCAAACGCGAAGATAGCTGGTACAGCAGTTATAAAACTGCCACACCAACCATCCTCATCTTGCCGGCCTGCAGAAATGCTTCTTCACGCCTCTCTTTAAAGGACCCCAGATTGAAGGAAGGAGGGAACACGTGCGCGGGCAAATAATTAATAATTAAATTATTAAATAAATTACTTTACCATAATTCGGTTTTGTACTTAGTAACATTTCCATTGTGTTATGCTTTGTTGGTTATCCTTTAAATAAAGAAGAGAAAAAGTAGAAAAAAAATACATTTATACTCTATTGAACTTCCTCCGGGATAAGAGTAAATATCCAAATTTTTTATCAAGACTAAATATAGCCGGTATAATAAATATGGCCGGTATAGCCAGACTAAAACGACTGAAGTGAAACTTCTTTAGCTCGTGTGCGTGTGCGTGTGCGTGTGCGTGTGTGTGTGTGTGTACAATATATACATGTATGGACATATACATATTTCATTTACTAGCTATAAGAGAAAGAGAGAAAGATAATGTGCGTGCGCACTGCTTTCTCTTGCTTATATCCCCCACTCAACTACCGTTCACTCCAGTTTCACTTCAATAACAAAAAATCATATTTCAACGTAAATTATTTACTTTAGCACTACCCTTCAGTAGGCTCATTGACAGTATGAAAAATATAGTACCAATAGTTGGTATTAAATATGAATATAAGAAGCCATTTTACTATTTTGAAACGAGATATAACTAATAACGTTTGTAATAAAATTTTTGTTCTATGGTCACGTGACCGAAAACGCCTGGGATTGACCAAGACTAAAATGACGTCACACGCTAGTAAACTTCCGACCAGTCACATTACATTGTATCATTTGACGTTTTAATGGCAGTCATGTGACGTCACACACTAGTAAAACGCCATATTGTCCATAGAAACGTTTTCGCGGCAATTTGGAAATTGAATTTTTAATTTAGTATTTTTACTAAATTACACAAGAGAGGAGCTTGATGGCGCAGGTGGTTAGCGCGTTCAGCTGCGATCGTTGAAGCTTAGCAACTTTCTCAGTGGTCGGTCATTGGATGGGTGACCAAAAATCTTCTATCTCAAGTATCTCTGTGCTTCGGAAGGCACGTTAAACCGTTGGTCCCGGCTGCATCTGCAGTCGTTAGCACCCGCCAATACGCACTGGGCCCGCGTGGTGGATGATGTCCCAATCTGCCTATTCCATTGATAGGGAAGGCCTGTGCCCCAGCAGTGGGGACATTAATAGGCTGATGATGATGATGAAACAACAGAATTAAAAATGAATAACGTTAGATCGTTTTCTAAAACTTGTCAAAATACCCTCTTATTAAATTTCGTACACATATAATTGTCAAACAGAATGCATCGTACCGCGGTCCTTGCTATCGTTGCATATTTCCTACCCCCCCACCACCTCAAGCTGTTGGTAGTTGTTCCGCCAATGGAGTCGCCGGACCAGTACCTGGGGTTATTGGTGAGTATGTAAAATAATAATTTAATATTTCCAACACTCACAACAATTAGCCTAGCCCCAATATTAAGCACTGGAGGCTTGTGTTTTGGGATACCAGGGTAACGGATAGAATACATATACTGATACTTAAAATATATATGTATATGAATATAGAAATACATATTAAACATCCATGACTTGAGTACAAATGCTTGTATTCATCACAAATACTTCTGCCCCCACCGGGATTCGAACCCGGGACCTGTCGGGTAGGTGACACCTTTAAACCCGGCGTAGCATAAATGAGTAAGAAGCGCATTCGGCTGTCATCAGCAACTTTCGCAGTGGTCGGTCAACGGATGGGTGACCAAAAATTGACTTCTTTGAGCTCCTCCGTGTTTCGGAAGGCACGTTAAGCCGTTGGTGGCGGCTGCATCTGCAGTCGTTAGCACCCGCCAATCCGCACTGGGCCCGCGTGGTGGGTCATGGCCCAATATCCCTATTCCATCCATAGGGAAGGCCTATGCCCCAGCAGTGGGGATATTAATAGTCTGATGATGATGATGTACATCGTTTGTATACCCAATTCGACAGAACGGGAAAGCCCACTGCCCTCCCGGCCGCGCCGGTCGTGTTGCTCTATGCCAATTTACTTTCAACTTCTTTTTGTTTGGCATAAGATTCACATTCGTTTGAGATGTCACGCTCTGCGGTCACTTTATGTGTCAGCTTTCTCAGTGCATAAAAAATTTGGTACAGTGAACTAAATGATACAGTGAGGTGAAGGATGTTATTTATAACTAGCGGCCCGCCCTCGCTTCGCTTCGGTGTAGAGCTGAAGTGTAGACTACAGTTTTTGTTCTCAGGCTTGTATTATACACAAATACATTCATCTATGATTCTTATACCTGCATGCAAAGTCACAGCCCGATCGGTTTAAAATTGACAAAGTTTCATACAAACTTTCATTCCTTATTTTATCCCCTTGGGGGTAGAATTGATCAAAATCCTTTCTTAGCGGATGCCTACGTCATAAAATCTACCTGAATGCCAAATTTCAGTCCGATCCGTCCAGTGGTTTGGGCTGTGCGTTGATAGATCACTATGTCAGTCACCTTTGAGTTTTATATATAGATAAAAAAAAATATGGCAGAAATATATATCTTCATTATTTTTTTTGAGTGCCTTAAATGTCATGACTATGACTGTTATTAAAGAAAAAATATTAAGAAATAAGCCATTAAACATTAGATGGTAATATTTTTCGCAGAAAAAAAAAATTTCATTGTTTTTAAGAATTGTATAATAATTATTACGAAACACTTTTATGTTCTTTTATTTTTTATAAAAGACACGATTTATAAAAGTGACTTTTTTGAAGACGAATTTTCTGACAACACGTTTGTAATATAATGCAGCAGGACCAAGTTTGCTGCAAATAGTTTCATTTCTAGAATGTCACAGCTACAATAAATACTTCAGGGGATTGGATATATTTTGCCTTTCTTACAATCAATTTAGAAATGAATGCTATAAGGTCGTTTTACCCTCGATGGCGCAAGTGGTTAGCGCGTTCGGCTGCGGTCGTTGAAGTTCAGCAACTTTCGCAGTGGTCGGTCTTTGGATGGGTGACCAAAAATTTATTATTTCGAGCTCCTCCGTGCTTCGGAAGGCACGTTAAGCCGTTGGTCCCGGCTGCATCTGCAGTCGTTAGCACCCACCAATCCGCACTGGGCCCGCGTGGTGGATAATGTCCCAATCTTCCTATTGCATTGATAGGGAAGCCCTGTGCCCCAGCAGTGGGGACATTAATAGGCTAATGATGATGATGATAGTTTCAGTCTGTGGAAACTTAACTGGTTTATGGAAAAGTTATAAGCGTTACTTAATTGAATTGTGTAAAGCTGTATGTTTCCCAAATGAAAATAAATAAATAAATAAAATTAGGTATCTTCTCCCTCCATATTTATTTTGGTCATACTAGGTAAGGATATAAATTGTTAAAAGTTATTCTTTCATTCTACAGGTACTCTTCAAGCTCTGGAAGCTATAAAAATGATCGTGGGTCTAACACATGAGAAGATGCTTATTGAAAGAATGCTTCTCTTTGATGGAGAGGACATGACCTTTAAAATTGGTAAGTCTGACTCGATTTTGAAACTTCTAGGCTTTATTACTTATCTGTTATCTATAATTACTGAGAATAGGGATACGGTGTACAGTAAACGAATTTCTGTCCGTCAGTTAGATTTATCAAAAAATAATAGACATATATTTTTTTCTTTTGTCAATACGCAAAAAAAAAATACATAGATAAGCGCATCAAAGCTTGGGAGTGGGAGCCCATGACGTCACAAAATTGTGCCAAGACGTGACGTCATGCGACATTTCAAATCAATATAACTCTGTAATGTTTTGATTGTGTGAAAAAAGAGAAAATACATGTCCAATACTTATTGATAATCCACCTGATAGACGAAGGAAAAAAGTAGTCGAATAGACCAGAAACTAGAAATAAAGTTACAACTATATGATAACTATAGATGTTTAAACCGAAACAAAACTTTAATAGAAAAAAATCCACGCGGACCAGGCATCAGACGAGACTCGAACGTGCAGGTTCTACTTTGCTATCTTGGCAAAAATGACCTATATGCTACCGTGGCCCTGATGACCGTGTCGAATTTTCTCAAGCTTTTCGTAAACTGCAAGGCAGCGCCATCTGTTCGCATTGTAGGAAGGAGCTAATATATTAATGTAGCATTATTCTTCCAATGTTGTACTGACGTTTATTCTAAGAAATACAGCTTTTACTAAATATTAGTCTTGAACACAGGCGAAAAGTTGCCTCTTTATCGGTTTTTTACCGGTTACATTTCGGAGAGTGTGCCTCGGAGTTACACAACTTAATTCCACCTTCACCTTTTTTCACTTCACCAGAGAGACGGCAAAACGCCACAGATATATCGTACAAGTCCCGCAAACTCGTACTAAACGGTTTGCTTCCACCTATATCGTCAGAACAGCTAGGTTGTGGAACTCTTTGCCGGAATCTCTGTTTCCAGTCACCTATAATCTGAGGCTCTTCAAGTCGCGAGTGAATCGATTTCTTCTAGGCAAGCGCGTACCACCTTAGGCTGCTACGTCGCTCTTCATCAGTCGCGTGGCTGTCAAGCGTAAGCCTATTTAATGTAAAAAAAAAAAATGCATTGACGTCACTCGATAATAGTTCTAGCTACTCGAAACTCGTTTTCTAAAACTTTTCACAATACCCTCTTCTTAAATTTCATTCATACACATAATAATTAATCATTTCGAGTGGTCTAGAGGCTCCAGACGGAGAGGAGACTCCCCCCGTGTGGAGATGCCATCCGACTGGAGCCACCTGCCATCCTCTAGAGGCACTCGCCAATTCTCGGCTTGATCGTCACTCGATAATAGTTCTAGCTACTCGACAACGATATTTAATATCCTATATACAACATCACGAACAAAATCGTGTCCGAAACCTGTCCAAACCGAACATTAAGCGATTCACGGAGCTCCGTAAGATGATCGCGTAGTCAAAAACAATATTGAACATTCAAAGTCACTTTTAATACATATTGAATAAGGTTTTCATTTATAACGCATGCGTCAAACAGTTATGTCAGTTCGGAATGCGAGCTCGTAAAATTTTACGACTTTTTGCTGTACGCCGATAATAAATCGGACACTACTGCCAGCTAGTGAAAAATAGTAGAACTTATTGATTATTTGCTTCGTTCTTACAACGGCCTTGTAATGAAAGGAGACGTAATATCTCATAATAATTAAGCTTTTCTGATGTGATTCATACATAGTGCTTTATACATAAAAAAACTAGTGCTTATGACCACACGACTGAAGTGAAACTTCTTTAGCTCCATCTGTATGTATATATGTGTGTGTTAACAATATATACATGTATGTACATATACATATTTCATTTACTAGCTATAAGAGAAAGAGAGAAAGAAAATGTGCACGCGCACTGCTTTCTCTTGCTTATATCCCCCACTCAACTGTCGTTCGCGTCGCTTAAACACACTTTTCGTAACGCGTAACGCATTCGCCAGCTTACCCCCCAAGTCAAGCGTGCGTAAAGAAGTTTCATTTCAAAAAATCTTCTGCATAACCAATTTGACAGTACGAATTTATTCCCATAGTGAATCTCAGAGGTCAGAATCAGCAATGCGCAGTTTGTTCACAAACACCCAGCATCACGCGGCTAATAGACTACGAGGCGTTCTGCAAATCCCAGGCCAAAGAAAAGGTATGTAAATATTTATTTTTAACACACAAACACACGCTGTTTTAATTACTTGTTCTTAAAAGGAAATAAAGCGGCTTCCTCCATAATAAAGGAAATGTATTTCTCTCCAATTTCGGTTACAAATTTTAAATCTAATATATATAATTCTCGTGTCACGGTGCGTAATTGAATGACTCCAAAACGGCTCGACCGATTTTCGTGAAATTTTATATGCATATTCAGTAGGTCTGAGAATCGGACAACATCTATTTTTCATCCCCCTAAATGTTAAGGGTCCACATTTAATTTTATTTGTTTTGGACAATTTTTTTATTTTATTTTTTTATGATAAATCATACAAAAATACATACACCCCTAAATTTTTACCTTTCTACCACCAACCCCTATTTTTTTGTGGCGGTACGAAGTTCGCTGGGACAGCAAGTATATTTAAATATATATGAAGCGAATAATAATGTTAGGTGGCTGGCGGAAATGAGAGTGAATCTTGGCAAATATTACTCCAAGCACGGTACTTCCGCTTTTATTATATGCGGAAGTTGCGGCAGCTCGGAGGTTTAGGCGTTGAGCAGACGACGGGGCGGGGCGGGCATTTTGCCCGCGAAGCAATAAAGACCGCGTCTGGCCGTCGATGTCTGCGGCTGCCCGCGCCGCGTACACAAAGCACACGACGGGCAGAGGCGGTCAGATCAGGACGTTCGTTCTAGTGAATAGTCCATCACTAAAGAGCGCGTGGCACGGACTGAGCTAGCCGCCCCGCGCCGCCGTCTGCGTTACTGCATATAAACTGGTTTGTATGATCCACGGCGGGCAGCCGCGGACATGCCGCGCCGCCACTGCCCGCCGGGCACCCAAGGCGCGGTCTTTTTGCCCTTTGTGTGCGTTTGAAGTATAGGATTCACTTTGTGCTATTATTCGCGGCGAAATTGACCGGCCCGCCCCGCCCCGTCGTCTGCTAAGCGCCTTAGGGCCAGCTGAATTTGAATTTCAAGTCATGTCAATCAAAACCGCCTAAAATAGTGTTAAAATTACTAAATTAAAAATCACACCCAAAGCTCATTGTAGGTATGTCATTCAGTTTTTTATTGCTCCTGTAAAATTTAATTTGATGTAATTATACCGCTTTGTTCGCCAGCTCCTCAGTTATGAACACACGCCATTTGTAAGGCTTTTGTTATGGGATGCTTAAGTAGGTACAACAAAATAATGCGACTCTGATAGGTCGTGACAATTCATTATGGCGACATCTAATAAAGTACTCTTTCGATTTATAAAAAAAGAGGTACAAATATAAACTCTAATGCTGTCGCCATAAGGAACTGACATGATTATTCATCGTCGTATTGTTTCATTGGCCGCGCTGTAATGATGATTTAATTTAAGATTCATTTCTTTGAACTATAGTAAGAACATTGGCATTGCAATATGGTCGATATCTCCAGATAACTTTGATGTAATTTCTATAGGCAGTGAGTAAGGCTCCCAAGGTTCTAAATGTTTAACACTACCTCTAGGGAGTGAGCTTAAAAGGTTTTATGTGGAAAATAACACAGTGTCTAGGAAGAAAATAGGATTTTCAGGAACCCACAGGGTATGCAGATAGGATGAGAAACAAGCGTCTTAAGGATTAATTGACTGATCAAATAACGGTGCATATGAACAATAATCAACATACGATGCAATAGATGTTTTATATAAAAAACCGGTCAAGAGCAGTTCAACTCGCGTGGAAATGGGTCCGTTGGTACTATAAAACTTCTTATAGGTTTTTCTGTAATCTACTAGCAAGGAGATACATTTCATTATTATTTCAAAATTTTAGTTTTGGAAATAAGCGTGAGGTAAATTTTCATCTATTGGAATACTATGCATTTGACATTTGTAAAAAAAAAGTATATTTAAAAACTTTGCATTGACGCCTTTCATTTGACATATAAGATATATTTAGCTAGTATGGTTTAAAATGATGTCTAACATTTTTTGGTACAACCCGAGAAGTTACATTTAGGTAGCTAAAAGGTACTCAGTGTTTTAGGGTAGCACTTTGATATGTGCCGACATAATAAAAAAGTGAGAGGTGTGCGCCCTTTTCAAAATCGCGAATGTATAAAGGTAAGTCTATTTCAAATAATAGTTGCTCAGTAGTTGCTTACGTATCAATTGTCACGAAGAAATATGTTCATTTTTCAACGAAGACTATAAGTTATAATCTCTATTAAAGATGAGGGGGGGGAGGGGTTAAGTTAATGTGATGATTGCTTTTGATGTTTATGTGCAATGTATTCGTATTCAAATAGCCTATAAATATATTAATGGGTTGCCACAGGGTGGTAATTTGTGTCACGAAAGATAGTAAGGAATTTTTGCAAGTGGACAAAATAAAACTTGACAGATTTGTGGGAGGAAAGATTTTAAGTAAATGCGACATTGATGGTTTTGTAAATAATTGGCAACATCTTTCAAATCAAATTTAGCAAGGTAATGACGTAGTAGGAGTTTTCATTATTTTCTGACTTTATCTAAAGTTCCTGAGGCTTTTCACAGAAATTATAAATATTCAACCATTCAGCATTAAATATTACTAAATACAATATTTATACATTGCTCGGGCAGTCGTTCATTCAAAATGTTATTATTATTATTATACTCTTTATTGCATCATATAGTTCAAAACAGAAAGTCAAATACATATTTCGACGACCTCCGTGGCCGAGTGGTTTGTACGCCGGGTTTCATGGTGTCGCCAACTCGAGAGGTCCCGGGTTCAAATCCCGGTGGGGGCAGATGTTTGTGTGATGAATACGAGCATTTGTACTCCAGTCATGGATGTTTAATATGTATTTCTATAAAAAAAAATACTTATATATGTACCGTATATAATTCTATCCGTTACCCTAGCATCCCATAACACAAGCCTTATAGTGCTTACTTTGGGGCTAGGCTAATTGAGTGTTAGAAATATTTATTATTTATTTATAGTTAGCAAAGTTGAGCTTATCTCTTTACCATGTCATTTTTAATTATATTTCTCCGTGACATCATACAAACAAATAAATTTGCTGTATTCAGACAGACGGAGCATTCGCGATTTTGAAATACTTAAAAAAACTCAGAGGCAATAAAGCACATTTTTTAAATATCACTTTTCAAATTTGTTACAGCCCATAACATTACCAGTAACAGAGCGGCGTCGGGTAGAAAAGCAAAAACGCATGACGGGCAAAAGTTACTACGGCTTCCGTAAAACGGATCGCGACAAACGCGCCTGGGTGCAAGACGTGCCTAAATCGGAACGCAAGATCGGCCCACCTTGTTCCTCCGACCTCTGTCAGAAAGGGACGGCACGACACTGCAACGAATTCGACGAGGAAGCGAGAAAGGAGATGTTCCGTCACTTCTGGCACGATTTGGATTGGAAAGGGAAACGAGATTACGTTAAAACGCTGGTAGATGTCGTACCGCCCAAAAGAAGAAGGAAAAAAGACGCTATATCGAGGAAAGGCGATTCTAAACTCTATCACTTGAGGAATAAAGGCGAACGTTTACTCGTGTGTCGTTTGATGTTTCTAAACACTTTAGGTTTGAAAGAAGCTATGCTCAGAAGTTGGTTAACGTGCACAGATAAACCAAGATCACCGAAGAAGCCTTTGAAATCTCTGAACGTAGACTCTTATATAGACGCGTTACCCGTTTGTCCACCGAAATGCGAAATATGTAGGAATTCTTGCGTACAAATCAGATATTTGAACTTGAGTCATGTGAAAAATATCTATCAGTTATACGTAGAGTATATGAAGGAAATGAAAAGTAGGAATATAAGTCCAGCTTCGAGAAAGACGTTTTGTAAAGTTGTCAGTTTGAGGAATTTAAGAGTTTTTAAGCCGAAGAATGAAAACGATGTATGCGATTTGGTTAGCCAACACAATGCGATTCCAAGTTACAGTTATCAGAATGTAGATATAGGGAAGGAAGGTTTGAATCATGATATGCCGACTGAGTATTTTTACGGGGAAGATCAGTTGTTGCTTTAGTATACAATATTGTACTATGAGAGAGTAGAATGTAAATATGAGCGTTTTTTTGGAAGTGGCAAATGAGATATACCAATTTGCCCCCTCCTACTTAACTACATTGATATGTTTAAATGTAAAGATTTTTTTTTTACTAGTAAAAATTCTACGCGGACCTGGCAGCAGACGGGACTCGAACCTTTCGCTATCCGGGCGAATGCACTGACCATTATACTACCGCGACCCTGATGGCCGTGTCCAATTTTCTCTAGTATTTCTTACACTGCAGGGAATTTTTTCTAGTAGAATTTTCTTTAATTTTAAACATCTAGCAATTAAATGCTTATAAATAAAAATAATATATATTGATATGTACTTACAATGAATTTAGACTTGTAATTATGATTATGACCCATTTATAATAAACATCTGTGGGTATTGTTTTTATTTATTTTTAAGCATTTAACTGCTAGATGCTTAAATTTAAAGAAAAGTTTTCCTAGAAAAAAATCCACGTTGACCAGGCAGCAGACGGGACTCGAACCCGCACCCTCCGCAATCCGGACGAATTCACTGACCAATTATGCTACCATCTATGGGTGTGTTAGCCGCTTACCATCAGGAGGGACATAAAGGGTCAAGAGGGGTATAGTGGTACATAAGGAATGTCTCTACCCTTTTCTTATTTGTCTTGATCTTTCTTGACGTGGTTTTATTAGTTATGCTTCCATCATAATCCCTCAAATATGTCAGCAATATGGTGCTCAAAACCCTGTCTGTGTTAGCCCTCCATTTTGTTTTATTTTATTTTCCGTCCGATTTGCCTCTTATTATTCGAGTTCTACTGTGCATCAAGGCTACATTTATGTCTTAAATCAATCCTGAATAGTTTCTCTACATTTAAGCTATATATTAGATGTGTAAATTAAAAACCATTACTAAATATGATAAAACGCAGAATATGAAAAATGCAAATATTTTGCTCAACTCTTGGCAGAAATCTGCCATCTCCACAGACACGGGTTTCTTGACGTTGGTATAAATCTGCCATTTACACAGACCAGGAGGAAAGCAGCTGCCATGGACGTTAAATGGCCGGGTATAATACTGAGATATTCCTTTTGTTACACTATTCCCCACATGACCATAGGGTCATAGGGTCTTGTAACAGCCTAGACTGAATAATTTGAAAATGGTGGCAAATGAATAGTCATTTGCCACCATTTTCAAATTAAAATAAGGATCATATTAAATAACTAATGAAAATAATGAATTTTGAAAGGAATACCAAAGAAAAGATAATCAGAAAGTGTGAGAGATAAAATTTAATTTAATGTATACTTGTCGTTTCTACGCCTCGTTTACACCAAGAAACAATAGAATATTTGTTGACACCGCAACGAGTACCTTAACAAGTATAATTCACTATTTTACTTGCACTCGGTTATGTTTTTACATTACTGTCCAAAAAGAAGAGTGTATTGTTTAAAGAGATTGGTCATATTGATGATATTAGGTGTATTCCGTAATATAAACCAGTACGCTGGCCAGTGGTAATGTCGTCATGATTTCGACGCCATGTTGACAACACCTACTACTACACCAGTGCAATATGGCGTCGAAATCTTGACGTCATTACCACTGGCTAGCGTACTGGGTTATATTTCGGAATACACCCATTGAGTTCGAGCAATAGGGATAATGAAAAAATATGTATCCATTATTTTTTGATAATCCAACTGACGGACTAAATCTAAATTTGTTGTATTTACTCCACTGAACATAGAAAGAGGTTACAAGGGTAATCATGTACCGTTTTTGAACGGAAACCGACATCGCCCATCGCCGGCTCGCCCCCACTACACTTCCACCTAATAGATAATAGCCAATCAAACGATGCGACATCAAACAATCGAACCAATCAGCGCTCACATCGAGAGCAACGACGCAACCAAGTTTTGGTCAAGTTATAATTTTTTTTGAGTGTGTATGCTGTTGGTCTCAGATGCCCTTTACAGCGTCATCGGGTTTGGGGACGGCAACATCCTGATGGAACCTCAAGCCGAAAATTACGAGTGCTTCTAGAGGTATTCCAGGCGGATGGCATATACCCATGGTGTATGACTAGTGTGTGTTACCAGTGATGATTTATGGGACTGAGAAGTGGTCTCTGAATGTTGGCCTCATAATAAAACTCAGAGTCGTGCTATGGAGAGGGCTATGCTCGGTGTTTCCCTACGTGATAAGATCCGAAATACGGAGATCCGTAGAAGGACCGGTGTGTACGACATAACCCGAAAAGTTAGCACGCTGAAGTGGCAATGGGCACACTGCCGGATTTAGGGGAGGGCAACCGGAGCGAAAGCCCCGGGGCCTCCACAAACGGGGGCCCCCACAATAGAGACTTTGGAAAAAAAATCTTTCAAATTCCAACTAGTAAACACTAGTAAACATCTTTTCCTTTGATATTTTTTTTTGCTGTTTTACCTATACCTACAGTACTTTGTACATCTAACATACATGATTATTCAGGGCCATATTTAAAGCAGGGCAGGTGGGGCTGTGGCCCAGGGGCCTCCACAACAGCTTAAGAAATAACAACATTTATCGAAATGTTGTTATTTCTTACCCATCGGGGTCAACAAGCGTGCAAATCCTAAGTGGCCCGGGGCCCCCACAACAGGATAAAAGATAACAAAATTTCGATGGATTAGCAAGCATACAAATCCTTAGTGGCCCGGGGTCTCCGCAATCCTTAATCCGGCCCTGAATGGACAGGCCACATCGCTCGAGGATCTGACTACCGTTGGGTAAGAAAGGTACTCGAGTGGCGACCACGTAACGGACGACGCCGCGTGGGGCAGCCCCCAACAAGGTGGACTGACGACATCGTCAAATGTGCTGGGAGCCGCTGGATGCGGATAGCGCAGGACCGCGCATTGTGGCGTTCTATGGGGGAGGCCTATGTCCAGCAGTGGACGGAGAAAGGCTGATGGATGGATGGCTGGAGGGATGGATAGCATCTCCCCTCGGGAGGAGTCCCCTCTCCTTGTGGAGCCCCTAGACCACTCGAACCTGATGGGACCTCGAGTTATAAGCATTTGCTTACACAACTGTGGCGCGCCTGTCCCGCCCACAAAGCCCTTAACCTCTTTCTGTGTTCTGTAATTTATCCTATCATCTTAATTTATATTCTATCTTCTTTATATTAAGGCTATTTATTTGAAATGAATGTAATTATAGTGTTTATGAAATGATGATCAAACAAACCTTGAAATAAAAAGTAAAACAAAGAGGATGTTGTTTTTATTATGTCACGTTTTTATCGTTACCCGCTTTCCATGAACTCAGTTTATTTTAAAAAACAACCGCGTTACCTTTTTCACTTACTAATACTTAGAACTATAGGTAAGGCTTATAACAGGTTTTTTGGTATTTCAAAGAAATTATAAATACAGACGTGCTAGGTGAACAATAATTACTGATAAGCACTTACTAAAGCGATATGATTAAGGTGATGTGCGATAGCTGGTTTTACCTTATGTGAATTTTAACCTTTAACAAATAAAATAACATTTTATCTACTCCTAAAACAAAAGAATGTCATAAAGCTCTTTCTAATCTTTGTTGAAATTTTAATGAACTGAAAAAAAAGCAAAAAATACTTAGTTATCATGCTGTAATACGGGCCTTAATGCTTGAATCATTGGTATCCCACTAATATTATAAATGTGAAAGTTTGTACGTTTGTTACTCAATCACGCAAAAACTTTTGATGAGATTTACTTTTGGTGGTGTTGTGTTTCTGTTGGTGAGTAAGGTTCCAGGGCTCCACGAGGTAGGGGACTAGGTCAGCGTAGGCAACAGAGCGAGTGATATTTTTAGTTATCGCAAGCGTCTATAAGTTATGGTGGTCACTTATGTTCAGGCGAACGCTTACCCATACGTTTGCAATCCCTTTTACATAAAAAAAATATTCGACTTTAAACATGATTAAATACAATGAAGTGTGCTAGGTCAATAAATCGACTGTACAATTTAATTTAACTTAAATGTATCCTTCCGTTGTATCCATGTTCATAGGAAAACACTCTATATTGTATTTATTTTAAAATTCAACAACCTATTTGACCGACTTCAAAAAAAGTTTGAATAGCAGTCTGCTTTGGAGTGAATTTTCAAAACTACTTTCCTATGATTAAGGTGAGTCTCATATTATATTAGCATGTTTATATTATAAAGTTAAAGAAAAAATTGCTAACGAATTTTTTGAGGTCGGTTTCCAAGGCCCAAGCACATATCCCGTAATTGTGTCGCATTTTCAAAGTGTCTATTAAAACTCAACAGTGCCTTAAGAACAAAGTAGCTTTTTTCATACAAAATTAGATGATAACGATTCGATAACGGAGCTGCAAAAATTCGTGCTTGGGCGTCTGATGTTTTTTATTTGATTTTGATTTTTCCATATATTATTAAACAAAGAGTTTTGTTTCCAGGTACAATATCAATGCACCATTAATCCTCAAACAGAAGAGAATTCATACAAAATCTGTCTCCCGAAACCACCATTTGCATCTGAGCACTCCAATAGAACAGACTCGCACCAAAAACAGGAAATAAATGAAGACACAGCCAAAATCTTGCTGAACCAGAAAAAGATGGCCGAAAACCAGCGAATTTTATTGGAGAACCAACTGAACATGATAGATAGACTGAAACAGATATCAGAAATGAGGACACCACATGCTAATTCTACAGAAGTGCATAATGAGAAAAGTAAATTAAAACTGGATCCTGTAAGCAATAAAGAACAATTGGAAAGCTTAGAAAAGTTTTTGGCCAGCGAGAAGAATAGGAAGGAACTGAGAAAGGAATACTCCGTGTTCTTTTCGAGAAGCAATTATGGGAACGGTGTAACTTGCGCTTATACTCTTGTCGATTTGCTCTTCACCAGAGATTTCCTCGTGGAATGTTCCTGGACTGGTTCAGCTAGAAAAGAAATCAGCAAGATATGCTTTAAAATGTACCAAAATGTCCTATTGTTTTTCTTGGAAATGATAAGGGAATGGGACCCGAAGTATAGTCACGAGCAGAACAACATTTTCTTCAAGGCAATCTTGAAGAACGCGAAGAAACGCACACAGGCGAAGTTATTGAGGGCGTCTTCTAAGAAAAACAGGAGGTCGAAGAAGATTCTAGAAACGGAAAGAGCTGAATTGGATGA